TCTTTGCTCCATATCTCCGTAACGGCTGGACCTGCCTTTGCCAAAAACTAATCCATTTTTTCTGAGGTATGCCAGTATAAAATGTTCAGAAACCTTCAAAACGTCGAGAAATGCAAAAATTTTCATTTTCGATTTTCGGCCCATTACTATAACTACCCTACGGACAGTTAAAAAATCGAGTAAAAAATAAAAATCTAGAATTAACATAATTTTTGCTAGTGAATTGCGCAGGTTTGTATATTTATGCTCGAATTATAAAACTATCAAGTATTTTACTATATTACAATACTGTTTAAATTAAGGTGACCATACCTCTCGGTTTGGCCAGGACAAAAAAAAATTATTTTCTAAAATTTATCCCGGATTTAGATTTTGATCATGGAAAATCCCGGTTTTTCGAAAATTTATACATATATTTACAACAATTATGAACAGCAAACTAGTGCTATTTTTAATAAAATTAATTATGAAGAAAATGGAATAAAAATATATAAAATGTAATATATCATATAAAAAAAATATTACATATAATCCAATAATAAAGTTCTTACCAGAAGAACTGTTTTTTTTAACTTCCCGTAGGGTAAGTTATTGTAATGGGCCGAAATCGAAATTGAAAATTTTTACATTTCTCGACGTTTTGAAGGTTTCTGAACATTTTCGCATACCTCAGAAAAAATGGATGTGTGTGTATGCATGTATGGATACAAATTTCCAGTCACGTTTTCGGGCGCACGGATCAACCGATTTGAATGGTTCAAAAAACATTCGAATCCTATTGATAGGGAGATGTGCTGATTAGTTTTTGGCAAAGGCAGTACAGCTGTCACGGAGATATAGATCAAAGAGCGCAGAAAATAGAAATCGAGTTTTTGAGAGAACGGAACATCCGATTTGAATGATCTAGAAACGTTCAATTAGTAATGATTGGGAAAGTGTTTATTAGTTTTTGGCAAAGGCAGGCCCAGCCATTTTGAAGATACGGAGCTAAATGTGTAAAAAATTGCAGTTTTTGAGAGAACTAAGCGTCCAATTTAAAGAACTTTCTGCTTGTCTTAACAAAATAATTGAGTTTGGAAAAAAAAATTTTGTTTCAACTTTTTTTTCAATTTTTTTTTTTTCAAAAAATTATATCAAAATGACCGTGAATTTGTTTATTTAATTTTAGCAGTATAAATTCGGCTTTCGATGAATTGCGGGTTCACGTGCCGACTTTCCCCTACGAAAAGCGTCTTAGCAAAATCGACACCCTCCGGTTGGCCATCGCTTACATAGCCTTACTCCGAGAGGTAATAAAAATAATATATACTAATATAATTATATATATATATAAATATATATACATATATATTATATAGTAAATAATTCAAATCAGGTCCTGGACACCGACTACGATCCATTGACGTACGTGGAAAAATGTTTGAGGGGCGAAATCAAGGCCGACAGGGCGCATTGGAACACGAGCGGTCAGTAAAAAATAATTCTAATATTTATATATATATATATATATATATATATATATATATATACTAGCTAACCCGGCCAAGATTTGCTGCAGATTATACTATATGTATTACTTTTTTATAAAATATCTATCACTTGTACAAAAAGCCTAAAAGATTTTCGAATATATATTTTCTATAATATCCATGTTCAATTTAGTGCAATATCTTTTGAATTTTTTTTGTTTTCATTTTTAAAATATGATAAATAGTAGAAAGTCAATTACTACTAAGATAGAAGTAAATATATCACTGAAATTCCTGATAGATTTTAAATAGATTTCAGTCATATCTCAAAAATGTTTAGATTTTCATTATTTTTTAGCAACATTGATAAATGTCCGAATGATCTTTACCGATTTTTACCATCTAACAATAAGATCAAATAAATGACATATTGTTTTTTAAATCTATTATTTTTTCATTCTAGATTTGACTGCCAGGCTGTCCTGGATAAATTGGGAAAATTTGGGGGTACACCCTGCCCGAAGGGCGATGTTGACATCATTAGCCCTGGGAACCGACACTCATATCGGATATTGAATAACAATTATTATTATTATTATTCAATTAATTTATGTGCAATATTTCTAATTATTTTTAACACTTTGTTTCGGTATTGAAATTTTGTGATATTTTCTAGTCATTAAATGATATTTAATTGTAAAAAAAAATTATATAATCAATATTTATAGCCTAATTTTATTTGTTTGTAATAGTTGCTAAAGAATAGGACTAATTAAATAAAAATTAACTAGTGGTGCATGGCATCGTGCCTTAAGAAAACTTTCCACTAAAATTTTTAATTTTTTTGCGATTACTATAACTTACCCGATGGAAAGTTGATAAAAAAATTTTGTGAATAAAAATTAAACTTCTAATTGAGAAAATTAAAATTATGAAACATATAAGCGAATTGCTATTCCTTAGTTTCGAACGGCTGAACCGATTTGGCCAAATTTAACCTTGAAATAATAGTCTTTTATACTCAAAGGACATAAAATGATGACAAATAAGTCTCTATTACTGTCGCTAATGAAAAGCTGTCTTTTTGCAAGACATTTGAAGAATGTTTTTCATCTAGTAAAGGCTGACCTTATCAAGAAGTTAACAATACTCTCATGGAAGTTAAAAAATAGAATCATTAAATGGAATAAAACAGCAGATGCGGCGAATGAAGAAATATTTATTTTAAATTTTTGTACGTTTCGAGACTAGATGTGTCTCATCATTCAGCAGACCAGAAAAAGACACATGTTAACATATAAGGCTAACACATGAATTATATAACATAAGAAAAAATGTTGGAGCAAATCAAATTAAAGAAAATGTGATCGCAAGAAGCGGAAAGATTTAGTATTAATAATAAATATATTCAAAGCAAAAATATTCAAATATTGAAATGCAAAGTGGGGTTAGGTTCGAGCAACTATCCACACTATTCGATATTTCTTCAAAGAAAACTTATAAAGTATTATACATCTTTTGAAAGGTCTCAAAATTCTTAGTTTTTTCCCATATATAGCAACTTCGAATTCCGAACGGTGTGACCTACAGGCGAGTTGCAGTGATAAAATTCTAGGAAAACAGGAAAATCTCGAGAAAATTATATGAACACACTTAACGATTCATATATCATTTTATTCGTAAGCCCCTTCTTTATTAACTTTATGTAGAAAAAATCGTCTGACATTTTTTTTTAAACTATGAAAAATATAATAAAAAAAAAATCAGTAAAATTTTACGTTTACGTTTCCACCTTCGGTAGTAAATATTGGTTAAAAAATAATTTGTCACAGCAAAACAAAACTTAGAGAACATATAGTTCTTATTGCTGTTCAAATATATAAATATAAAAAAATCACGATAAAGTTTTCACTTATGACTATCCCATTTGTAAAAGGGCACGTGTCTCGTACAGCTTAAAGCAATTATTTGATAAGATTTTGGCTTTTTGTTTTTGAATTGTATTCATTCGTTATCGCCCTTCATTTGATTCAATACGACGTTGTGCACACGTCAATTGAAGAGAGGAGCACCCTTTCATTGAGAATTAATTATAGGGTCAACCGGAAAAATAGCTTGTTAATATATAAATACACAGCGAAATATACACTCATATACAAATATATATATATATATATATATATATATATATATACATAAAATTTTGCAATCATGTTGCTGATTACAATTGTTGATAACAAATATGAGACAAAAATTATAAAACGAACAGCAAATAATAAAGTATTTAAATCCTACCTTGATCTTAAATCCTTCGATTCATTGCATAATTCACTATCAACAACCACTTTTACACAACTTTTCGACAAATACAACCAAAATTATATCTTTTTGCAAGTTTTGGTGCAAAATGTCGTTTGGCAACTGACGTTCAGAGCGGACATCTTTAATTTTCACAAATTCAGTGTTGCCATATGCGTAAATACAAAACGATGTGGTAAAATATTTTTTAATATAAAAATTTATTTAAACAAGTTTATTTGTGCGTAAAATGAGAAATATGGTGCATTGAATAATAATTATACAAAATCCCTTTTGTATGAATATAAATAACTTGAGTACTTTTTTTCAAAAGTCAAAACCAATCAAACCACTCTGAAGTTGTCTACTTCACTTTTTAAAACACAAAATTCAAATATATATAATTATTGCAACAATTTATTTAAATACATAATTTTAACTTACTAATATATACATACAATATAATTTCCAGCCAGCTGTATATAAATCCATTTAAATTTCTTAAAAAAATATGCATGGACTTTCCACTTTCGACTAAATAACTATAAACAATCAAAATGGCACCAAAAAACATTTAAAGTAATTTTTCACTGGTTTCGTTAAAAATCCATACATATTTGTTAGTTTATATCAAAAATTTTGGTTTCTAAATTTGTATTAAGATTTAAATTCTTATATATCACTGTTTTTGCCTTAGATAATAATTACTTACTAAACAAATACTAAGTACCTTGGGTTAAGATACATAGATTATAGTAATATGTACAACATAATATATATATATATATATATATATATATATATATATGATTTAGTAGTTAATATATATAAATATATATATATATATATATATATATATATATATATACATTTTTTATTAGGTACATAAGAGTTCTGTGCAATTATCTAGCTGTCGATTAACAATTTAGGTCCCCATTTAATATCTTAACATAATCTCTGGAGCAACAAATAACACATAAACTACTTGCTAACTAAAAAAATATTGCACAAGTATTTAATTACAAACGAAACACTTGATGGCTAAGAAATGATAACAAGATTTTTTTATTTGTACCTTATAATTTTGTTTAATGTCTTTTTGCTTTGTTAATTTAAAAGATGATTATAATCGATGACTATGGTAAGCTCATCTGCAAAAAATGGATAAAACCAAAGCTAGACTCAATTTATTTCATACAAAAGAATATAAATTTATATTTCTACTTACCAATGTTATCTATTATCCTTCTTTGTCTTACAATTTTCATTGTTCTTAGAAATTAAAGCTTTCATAATACTGGGATATAAAGCGGTGAGTATATCTTCGAACACAACTAGTATCAATCTCATATTTAATTGTTTCTTTTGCAGAAGTAAACATACATTTAACAATCCTAGACGAGTTGTTTCGCTTCCTAAGACATGTTTAAGGTCCTCAGAGAAACTGGCCAGAAGTGCTGTTTTTGCTGCTATTCTGGTCCTGAAAAAATAAAGGTGTAAGATTTTATAATTAATGTAATATTTTAAAATTTAGATTATTATGCAAAGTATCAATAAAGTAGTCAAAGAAAGTAACATTAACGAAACATTATGTTACGTTTAGTTTTTCAAGTGTTCATTGAGAATACAACAAATACTAAGGACACTTTTTGATATTCACCATTTTAGTTTATTCAAGTAATTAATATATATTATTATATGTCAAATGAAAGCTAATAAAATTATCTACAACTCTGTGTATAACGATTTATAACGTTTCTCACAAAATTATATAAAAAAAATATTTAAACTTTAAAATTAATGCGGCGTGTCTATAACTTTAGTTTCAGCGGTTGCGGTTTTTATATCCACGTTCAATTTATTATAAATAATTCAAAATATATTAATAATATTAAATATTGTTAAAAACCTAACAAAATTGTCTACAAATCTGTATATAACGTCTGCAAACTTTTCGAACAAAATTGAATAAGAAAAATGTGTAAAATTTAAAATTTAGTATCTACTTATTAACCATTGGTGGATGTGATTAGTACATTTTTTAAAATTTAGTATAGTTGTGATAAAATTTATTTATTTTTATATATCATGATATACCATCAAAAGTCAATAATAATATCTATAAATCTGTATATAATAACTTGTTAGAACAAAATTATATATAAATAAGTCATCAAACTTTGCAATTAATATCGTCGTCATGCGTCCACATTGTTTTAGCTACAATGCTTCGGTTTATAATAAAATTCATTTTGTTATAATTTAAATTTAAATAAAAGTACTTAATTCAAAATTATTATTATATATCATTAGAAAGCTAATTAAATTATCTATAAATCTGTATATAAAACTTCGTAACTGTTAGAACAAATTTATTTAATTTATTTAATTCATCAAACTTTGCAATTAATATCGTCGTCAGGCGCCCACATTATTTTAGCTACAACGCTTCGGTGTACAAATATATTAATTTTATTATATTTTAATTAAAAATATCATTATTTTTATATATCATTAGAAAGCTAATTAAATTATCTATAAAGCCGTATATAACAATTTAGAAATCTTAGAACAAAATTGTTTAGAAATAATTAGTAAACTTTGAGTTCCTAAATCTCAAGTAAACTAAACGATCTTCTTCGGTACGTTAATACAAAATAGTTACAAAATATAAATAAATTCAAAATAACTATTATTACCTGTGAACTGTATCCTGGTCTCGTTTTGGTGGACTTTGTGCTCGTTCACCATTTGGCCACAGGGCATTTCGAACATATGATATCGCTTGTAACACCATACCTGGATAAAACAAATTTAGAATAAATAAGTATATATATATATATATATATATATATATATATATATTTATATTTATATTTTACCGTGACCAGCTAAAGATCCAGCCAACTGCAGCAATCTCCTATTAACAACATTTCCCAACCAAGTGCCTTGTAGTGCTTTCGAAAGGACACCACGTCTCAACCATTGTGAACGTCCTTTCAAATCAAAAGCTTCGTCTAATAGAACTAAAGCTGAACGAATAGCTGGATTATCAGCCTGAGATAATAAAAAATATATTAATAATTATAAGAGATTACAAATTTTATGTGCTTACATCTATTTCATCAGGGACTCCTAATAGAACCCTGGACAAGCCACCGACGAATTCATCAACGCTGTTTAGGAGTTGGTCGGGCATGTTTTTTATGCTGCGCATTCCTGATCGTAATGGACTAACTATTGTATCAATCTGGAAGGAGAAAATTGTTATATATATATATACTAGCTGACCCAGCAAACGTTGTTTTGCTAAGTAAGGTATATTCTAAACAATTTCTAGAGAATCATATTATTACTATATAAATATTAATACTTTAAGAGTATAAGGATGTGTTGTTTGAATGCTATATACAATTAGGTATTATAAAAACAATGAACCCCATTAGTTTGTCTATGTTTTGTCAATTCAATCAAACTGGAAGTTTTATACACTTTCTATAGAAATCATGGTATAATCCAATCCAAGTATTTTTTTGGTATTTCGACTTATTGATTACGTTTTAAGCTTTTCAGATTCTTTTGGATTCTGGATTTTGTGTATAATTGTAAATACTACTACTGAGCTTATACAAATTTTTCAAAATTCTGCGAGGAGAGATAGAAAATGAATTAACTATTTCTTCTTTGACCTGCTTTTTGAAAAGTTTCAAGTAACATACCTTGAATGAAAGTAAATTTAATAAAAAGTATATACGTAGAGCAGGGCAAAGCTTAAAGGTCCAATTTGAGTTTGAGCAAATATAAATTTTATTATGAAAATGAAACCAATTTCATCACAACAAATGACACATTTCAAACGAACAATTAGCTGACTACGTTCAGTAAAACTACAGACTTCGTCATTATAAAAATGTGCTTTTTTTGCTGTCTTTCAAAAATTTGTTATCTAGACCTTTTTACCCTATAGGCGGGGTAACTTGGAACGGCCAGATGGCAAACAGGTTTAATGTCTTATTTTAATTTTAAAGGTATTTTACAAAATAATTACATTTTTAACTAATGCTAAAAAACTACCAACAGAAGAAAATACTTTTACTATGGATTTTCAAAGATGACCGTTTATCTCCCAATATCAAAGTCATAAGAATCAAGGTTATAGCTGGTTATACATCTTTCTCCCTTCACTTTCAAATAATGTTGTTAAACAATGCTTCAGCTTTACTGGTTTTTGACACTTTGGTCGTGAAACTTTTAACCCCGTACCTTCATATATTACTAACCATTCTTTGATAAATTCTGGGAAATTATAACTGGGAATAAGTTATTCGACAAAATGTACATGTAAATGTAAGTAATGCTCTTTCAGTCTTGGTCGCGGCATTATTATTAAACTTCACTTCACCTTATATATATATATATATATATATATATATATATATATAATATATATATAGTATCATAGATTGAATAAACTACATGGATAGTTTATAAATAATTAATTCTGAATTAGAATGAAAAACGGACTCTAAACTACCTCTCTGCCACCAATTACTGAGCCACAGCAACGCGTGGCCGGGCTAGCTAGTATTTTTTTTATATATATAAATATACTATCAATTAAACTGAAAATCGGGATAAAAAGTATCCTAAGTCCTTCTCCTGGCTCTAAACTACCTCCCTGCCAATTTTCATCTAAATCGGTTCAGCCGTTCGTGAGTTATAAGTGTTAGCACATAAAGCGATCCTCTTTTATATATATAAGATATATATATATAATTATATATATATATATATATATATATATCTTATATATAAAAGTGGAGCTCTCGATCAAATGATCCGCTAAAACTCGAAAACAACTGAACCGATTTGGCCACTTTTCGCCTTGAAAAATTCGTGCCAATCCAGAGATGGTCGGAAAGGCGAGATAATATTTCAAAATCGCGTAGAAACTTCACATTTTTAATTTGAAATTTTTTGTAGAATAAAACAGTGGACGGCGGCTCATACGTCAAATGTCAAATGGTTTTGAGTTATTATGTTCAATTAAATCTAATAGGATGTTAAGTAAAAATGATTTAATTATAGTAAGTAATTTTATTTGTAGTTTTATTTATACACCAAAACGCTATTAAACGGTCCTCAAGTGTTACTAGAGACTCAAAATATCAACTTTTTTGAAATGTTAATACGAAAATACACTCTTTGGCTTTATGGCACTCTTTTTTGGCAAATCATATTTTTTCAAACTTTGTGCTCTAAACTTTTATACCGAATACTAAAACTAACTATGTGATTCATCCAAACTTTTTACAAATTTATAGCTGATGTGTCCAAAGAAGTTTTACTTCAAAAACTTTGTGTTGTAAGTTCTATAGCTTGTTGGGTATCGTTTGAAAGGTTTCGACGAGTAGAAAACGATTTTCACGAAACAATGATCATATTGTAATAAAAACGTTATATACATTAGATATGAATATTAGCATAATAAAACATTTTTTTATTTTTTTTTTGAGGTGTATAGCTTCTGTAGCAAATACTAAAATTAAATATATGATTTGTTCAAACTTTTTACAAATTTGTAGCTGAGATGTCTAAAGAAGTTTTACTTCAAAAATTTTCGATTGTATTTTTATCGCTTGTTGGGTATCGTTTGAAAGGTCTCGACGAGTAGAAGTCGATTTTCATAAAACAATGATCATATTGTAATAAACACTTTATATATATTAGATATGAATATTAAAATAATAAAACATTTTTTTATTATTATTTTTTTTTAGAGGTGTAAAGCTTCTGTAGCAAATACTAAAATTAAATATGTGATTTGTTCAAACGTTTTACGAATTTGTAGCTGAGATGTCTAAAGAAGTTTTACTTCAAAAATTTTCGATTGTATTTTTATCGCTTGTTGGGTATCGTTTGAAAGGTTTCGACGAGTAGAAAACGATTTTCACAAAACAATGATCATGTTGTAATAAACACTTTATATACATTCGATATGAATATCAGAATAATAAAACAATTTTTTATTATTTTTTTTTGGAGGTGTAAAGCTTCTGTAGCAAATACTAAAATTAAATATATGATTTGTTCAAACTTTTTACAAATTTGTAGCTGAGATGTCTAAAGAAGTTTTACTTCAAAAATTTTCGATTGTATTTTTATCGCTTGTTGGGTATCGTTTGAAAGGTCTCGACGAGTAGAAGTCGATTTTCATAAAACAATGATCATATTGTAATAAACACTTTATATATATTAGATATGAATATTAGAATAATAAAACATTTTCTTATTTTTTTTGGAGGTGTAAAGCTTCTGTAGCAAATACTAAAATTAAATATATGATTTGTCCAAACTTTTTACGAATTTGTAGCTGAGGTGTCTAAAAAAGTGTTACTACAAAAAATGTGTATTTTAAGTTTTATAGCTTGTTGGGTATCGTTTGAAGGGTTTCGACGAGTAAAATACGATTTTCACAAAACAATGATCATATTGTAATAAAAACGTTATATACATTAGATATGAATATTAGAATAATAAAACATTTTTTTATTATTTTTTTTTGGAGGTGTAAAGCTTCTGTAGCAAATACTAAAATTAAATATATGATTTGTTCAAAGTTTTTACAAATTTATAGCTGAGGTGTCTAAAAAAGTTTTACTTCAAAAAATGTGTGTTGTAAGTTTTATAGCTTGTTGGGTATCGTTTGAAAGGTTTCGACGAGTAGAAAACGATTTTCACGAAACAATGATCATATTGTAATAAAAACGTTATATACATTAGATATGAATATTAGCATAATAAAACATTTTTTTATTTTTTTTTTTGAGGTGTATAGCTTCTGTAGCAAATACTAAAATTAAATATATGATTTGTTCAAACTTTTTACAAATTTGTAGCTGAGATGTCTAAAGAAGTTTTACTTCAAAAATTTTCGATTGTATTTTTATCGCTTGTTGGGTATCGTTTGAAAGGTCTCGACGAGTAGAAGTCGATTTTCATAAAACAATGATCATATTGTAATAAAAACATTTACACATAACCATATAACATCGCAAAAAATATTAGTATGTTGCGATTTTTTTTTTAAATTAATTGAGTTGCAAAACTTTTGTACCGAATACTAATAACTTAACTATGTGATTTATCCATAAAATATATACTTTCTACGAATTTTTAGCTAAGGTGTCTAAAGAAGTATTTTAGATTATATTATTTTAGAATATTTTTTAGATTATATTATTTTATTTAGGTTATTTAAATGCAGATTCTTAATTTGGAATTGATATGAAGAGACATTTTGTCGAATAATTTATTTTGAGTTATAACTGCCAACAATCTAAATAAGAAGATTCGGCTGATAACACAAATAATAACTTTGGGACACACACCTGTAAAAATATTAATAATGTCAATACGCATGATCTTCCTTATATATTTACAATAAATTAGTATTTTTTTCTATTCTCTAGAAATTGTTTACAAATACCTTAAAACAACGTTTGCCGGGTCAACTAGTATATATATATATATATATATATATATATATATATATATGTAATATTTTTGCAGCCCAATCGTCGAATTAAAAAAAGATTAAATAACAAAATGATTTATTCCATTAAACGTTTCGACACTTGACGTGTGTCATCATTCAGTAATCTAAAAAACATATAACATAAATACAAAGTTAATGATAAATATAAATATATAAAAAAGGAGGAAATTATACATACCAAACCAGAAAAAACAACAGAAAGAAATAATTATGATGTAAAATTGATTGAACAATAAATTTGTGTAAAATAATAATATACTGTTATATTAACAAACGAGAAATTGAAGGAGTACATATTGCCCTCCTATACTTTATGTTATCAATAGCGGTGCATTGTGGACACTGATCAAGGTTACAAAGCAAGTGTAGTGAAGGAGTGGGAGGGGGTTGTGAGAGACGAAAGGGGAAAGAGAAACAGAGAAGAAATATAACGAACGAAAGATTCTAAAACTGTATAGTAAAACTTTTCATAAAATTAATGATGACTTTGTAACTGTCATGTAAGAGATGAGAGGAATTACGTTTGTTGACACAAGAAGTATTAAGGAATATTTATATATATATACATATATATATATAGATATATATATATATCTGCTTACCGTTCTAATCATGGCCCCTCGTGCAACTTGTTTATCATAAGCTTGCGGTTCACAAAACTCGATGAGCAACTCCAAAAGTCCTTCATAATAGTAAACACGTTGCGACTGATTGTGATGTTTAATCCTTCTTGCATGTTCACACAAAGCAGTCACAAAAGAATTCAAAACAGTCTTTCTATGTTCCAGCACTGTTCGATCCATGTTGTGAAAAGCACGCTTTGCAGGGAAAGGTAGTTTTGATAAATCAGGATACTAAAAAATAAAAAAGTGAATAAAATATTAGTAATATTTGTAAGACTCATCAACTTACTATGTTAGTCATAGATAAACAATTATAAATTTTAATTTTTTCAGCATATCATAGATGTCGCCACTAACTGTAGCACGTATATTTACCATTAGGTTCAATTCTAGATAAGATTAATCTTCTATATATATAAAAATAAGTCGGGTTTTCCTTCCTGACGATATAACTCCAGAACGCACGAACCGATTTCGACAATTTTGCATTCGTTGGAAAGGTCTCATGCTCCGCAAGGTTTATAGCTAATTTTAAGAAAATTAGTGGTGCATGGCATCGTGCCCTAATGCAAATTGCTGGAACTTCACGCACCGTAATTAAAAATTCGAGTAATCACATTAGTGAGAATTATCAGAATTATACTTGGTCAAGTCAACGAGCAATTCTTTCCGCAAAGAATAATGATGTACACGCACTGAATTTCACCATTCAATCAAAAATTGCTGGCGATTTGGTGACACACCAATGATTCCGACTGGTCTTCCGTTTGACTTCAAACGATTGCAATTTCCAGTTCGCCTTGCGTTCGCAATAACAAGTCGCAAGGCCAATCGCTTAGTGTTTGCGGGATAAATTTCAAATAGATTATTTAGAAAATCATTGTTTTTCACATGGGGGCAGTTATACGTTGCCTGTTCACGAGTTGGAAAACCATCCGCTTTGTTTGTGTTAACGTCAGACCAAAAAACAAAAAATGTGGTTTACCAAAGAGCACTTCAATGAAACGGATAATTTGCGGGTTCACTTTCATTTACTTAGAGAAGTTTAACTAAAAAACACTTCGATTTTTGTAATCGAAATAAATTCATTACTGTTGTGCAATAAAATCAAATTTTTCCTTTTCAAATATAAAACAAACAAAAAATATCTTCATCTTTCTCACGAAACCATCTGGTGGCGAAACAGAGTTCGTCGGGTATTGTATAAATATATAATATAGAAAAGATAGGGATGAAAAATTTGACTAAATGGAATGAGAACAAAATATACGCGTATAAAATATATTTCCCACAAAATCACAAATATGTGGTAAAAAATATATAATGACAAAAAAGAAACATTTTTATTAAACAAATAAAGCTTTTTTCGTACCTTTTTCTTTACGGATTTCTGTAAGTCTAAGAAATGTGAATATCGTCGATACACGTGCCATTGAAGTAAGGAACTGCTGCTTTCGTTTTGCAAATTTTGTTGACGAGTTGCACTATTATTGTTGTTTGTAGAAGTGTCTTGCTGTTTTTTGCGATGGCATAAAACATTCAAAGCGTATACGCCCCAGGATTTTCCTCCTTCACAAGCAATTGCTGAAAAGTAAAAAAAAAGCTAGTGGTGTATGGCATCGTGCCTTAAGGCAAATTGCTGGAACTTCCCGTACCGTAATGAAATATTCGAGAAATTTTAAACGTTTTCAAATATATTATTACAAATACCGTAACTTTCATTATTTTTGCTATCTTGTTATATCTGAGCAAATCAAATGTAAATCATAAATAAATCAATTTATCTCCAGAACATTAACAATCGTCATTTCATTTCGAATTCAATTTCAAAAAAAAATAGTTGCATAATTTGCACAAAATTGAAAAAGTGCTCCCGTACAGTCACAGTCTAAACGCATTTGCAAATAATTCTGTGCGACATTTTCACTTAGACTGTGCTTAACTTGGCGGCATTTTCACATTTTTCAATAGTTTTCACAAAATTGGAAAAGTGCTCCAGTACATAAACAGTCTAAACGCACTTGGGTAAACATTTGTACCAGAGTGGCGCTTAGACTGTGCTTAGCCTGGGCAATTTTTGAATTTTTAATCCAAAATTACAAAAATATTTTTTGAAAAAAAAATTAGAAACATAATTTTTTTTTCCAAAAGCAATTATTTTGTTGAAACAAGCAGAAAGTTCTTTGAATCATTTAAATCGGACGCTTAGTTCTCTCAAAAACTTCCATTTTTTTAACATTTAGCTCTGTATCTCCGAAATCGCTGGGTCTACCTTTGCCAAAAACTAATGACCACTTTCTCCGTCACTACGAATTGAATGTTTTTTGAATCATACAAATCCGTTCTCGCTAAAACTCGATTTGTATTTCTGCACTCTTTGCTCCATATCTCCGTGACGGCTGGACTTGCCTTTGCCAAAAACTAATCAGCACATCTCCCCATTAATAGGAATCGAATGTTTTTTAAACCATTTAAATCGGTTGATCCGTGTGCCCTAAAAAATGCGGACATACAAAACACACACCGCACATCCATTTAGTTTCTGAGGTATGCCCCTTAAAAATGTTCAAAAACCTTCAAGACGTCGAGAAATGCAAAAATTTTCATTTTCGATTTTCGGCCCATTACTATAACTACCCTACGGGAAGTTAAAAACTAGTGTAAGTGTTATTTTGCCATCAGGCAAGTTGCATGAACTTCTCGATAATAATGGAATTAGGTAATTATATTTAGAATTGTAAATAAATTGTTTTTATTGTTTCATTCGATTCAAAATGACTTGAAAAGTCGAGAAAACATAAAATCAGCAAATCGGACTTTTTAGCATGGTTAATGCATAATTTGTAAAATTTGATCAAGTATCAATTATTATCTTACCTGTTTGTATAATTTCCATCGACAAATCATAATTCTCAGCCAAAAAATTTGCACTATAATGCTCGAAAGCAAACTTGGCTGTGGCAACAGAACCTTCTATGGTATTACCAAATTTATTAGTCTGCTGCACCAAACCTTGGCCATCAATATTTTTAACATTATGTTTCAGAGGACTTAAAGTTCTTTGCCTAACAATCGAATCACTTCTCGATCTTGTATGCTTCATATAATCGAACTTCGTCGATAATTTTTTGTCATCGAATTGATAGTCCTCACTCTTTTGTAACACTCCATCCACATTGGTCTGCTGGATAATGGGAACTGAAAAGTAAAACAACTAGTAATAAGACATCACAATCTATATACTAAACTAGCTGTAAGTGGAATTTTGTCTTGAGGCAATTATGGCATCGTGCCTTAAGGCAAATTGCTGGAACTTCCCGTACTGTAACGAAATGTTCGAGGAATACTGAATGTTTTCAAATAGATTATTATTAATAATGTAACATTGTCTAATATTTATAAGAATTATATAAACTGAATTGCAAAGTTGAAATTATTTGTAAAGTATATTAGAACTATAGTCAGAATTAAAAATAAAATCAGAATTATTTTCGATATACAAAAAACTAACAGAAAAAGAAAAAATTGGAACATTTTTTTTCCAAAATCAATTATTTTGTTAAGACAAGCAGAAAGTTCTTTGAATCATTTAAATCGGACGCGTATTAGTTCTCTCAAAAACTGCCATTTTTTACATATTTAGCTCCGTATCTTCAAAATGGCTGGGCCTGCCTTTGCCAAAAACTAATAAACACTTCTCCCAATCATTACTAATTGAATGTTTTTTAGATCGTTCAAATCGGATACTCCGTTCTCTCAAAAAACCGATTTCTATTTTCTGCACTCTTTGCTCCGTATCTCCGAAACGGCTGGACCTGCCTTTGCCAAAAACTAATCAGCTCTTTTCCGTATCAATAGGAATCGAATGTTTTTTGAACCATTCAAATCGGTTGATCCGTGCGCCCGAAAACGTGACTGGAAATTTGTATCCATACATACATACACACACACACATCCATTTTTCCTGAGGTATGCCAAAACGTTCAGAAACCTTCAAAACGTCGAGAAATGTAAAAAATTTCAATTCCGATTTTCGGCCCATTACAATAACTAAGTTAACTAGTTGGTGTGGTATTTTGCCTTGAGGCAAGTTACATGAACTTCCCGATATATGTAAATAATCGACTTAATCAATAAAAAAATAAATTAATTTATGAGTGATTAAAAGTATTCCACTCGGAATTTATTACACATAATTGAAAACGAACGAACACGTTAATCGGAGTATTTTCTAAAAGCAAATTTTCAAAAATCAATATTTTTTTAATTGAACTAGTTTCCGTAGGACTTTAATGATTTATTACGTTTATTAACACCAAGTACTCTATCGTTATACCAAGTGAATCGTCTAAGTTTAATTTTAACAAACGTCAAAAAAACTACTCATTTTCTTCAACTTTGATAAATTTTCAAAATTAAACTACTTGTCGTAAAGCCGTAATAATTCAGTAAGTTCTATAAGGCCATGGTATATATCGCCAAAAAAAGTACCATAAAAATCGTCCTAAATTTTTTTTCAACAGTTAATTACAAGAAAACGGCTCGGTAGATTTTCACCTAAAACTAATCAGTATCATTCCCAACAAATGTCTTTCGAACAGTTTTTGATATTTTAAAATCGATTCGGTAGTATGAGCTTAAATGTGGACGAAAAGTTTAACACTTTTTTTCAAATTTCAAAGAAACGGCTCGGCCGATTGTCGCACAAAAGTGACAAGCGATAGTCCTCATTGAGACACATCAAATGGTTTTTAAATTTCTGAAATCGGTTCAGGCGTTTTTGAGCAATCGTCGATGAAACGTCTAATTTTGACGAATGGCAAAAAAACTATACTAATTTTTGCAAACTTTGACGAATTTTTAAAGCTAAACGAGTTGTCGTAGGGCCGTAATATTTCAGTATGATCTAGAAGACTATGATATCTACCGTCAAAAAATAATCATAACAATCGCCGATTTTTTTTTTTAAACTTTATTACAAAAAAACGGCCCGGCCGATCTTTACCAAAAACTAATCAGCATGATTCCCAACCAATATTTTTCGAACGGTTTTAAATTATCAGAATCTATTCAGAATTGCGGGCTAAAACGTGGACGAAATTTTTTTCACTGTTCTGCTATTTATAAAGAAACGGCTTGGACGATCGTCGCACAAAACTCAAAAACGCTAGTCCTCATCGAGATACATCGAATGGCTTTTAAATTTTTGAAATCGGTCCAGCCGTTTTGGAGAAAACGTCGATTTACGGCAAAGAATCTGTTCACACACACACACACACACACACACACTTTTTCCCTGAATTCAGTCTCAATCGATTCAGAATGGCTTGAAACGTTGAGAAAACATAAAATTAGCGAATCGGATTTTTTGATGAAAACATAAACTTCTCCTTCGGGAAGTTAATTATGAGTCTATTACCCCTACCTGTAGCTTTGACACTATCCATTCCTCTGGCACCATTTACTTCGTTCTTGTCCTTTTTCACAGTTGTTTCATTCGCCGATGGTTCATTTTCAGCTGGTGCTCCACCAGAATCGGTTTCGCTGGAACCAGCAACCATTTCTAAGCTGGACACACTGTCATTGTCCAGATTTGAGGTGCAGTCGTAGTCGTGTTGACCATGAGTCAGCATATCGAGCTCTGCCAACATGTGAATGTAGAGTCGACTTCTGTAGAAATCGGTTAGGAAGATGTCTTCGGTCTGGAAATAAAGGACACAGTGATTATTTAAATACACGAATATATTTAATGGAAGTTAATAAAGGAATATTCAATACTTGCCTTAAATTTTCCAAAAACATTGTCTTGTATTTCATCGAACCAATTTTCAGACGGATTAAGAGCTCTGAAAAAGAATAATTATTTGTAAAACATTTTTTTCTATTTTTTTTATATTTATATTTATATTTATATCTATATTTATATTTATATTTATATTTCTTTCTATTTCTATTTATATTAAACTAGCAAACCCGACGAACTCCGTTTCGCCACCAGATGGTTTCGTGAGAAAGATGAAGAAATTTTTTGTTTGTTTTATATTTGAAAAGGAAAAATGTGATTTTATTATACAACAGTAATGAATTTATTTCGATTACAAAAATGAAGTGTTTTTTAGTTAAACTTCTCTAAGTAAATGAAAGTGAATACGCAAATTATCCGTTTCATTGAAGTGCTCTTTGGTAAACCACATTTTTTGTTTTTTGGTCTGACGTTAACACAAACAAAGCCTATTTCCAACTCGTGAACAGGCAACGTATAACTGCCCATGTGAAAAACAATGATTTTCTAAATAATTCCGCATAATTTGAAATTTATCCCGCAAACACTAAGCGATTGGCCTTGGGACTTGTTATTGCGAACGCAAGGCGAACTGGAAATTGCAATCGTTTAAAGTCAAACGGAAGACCAGTCGGAATCATTGGTATGTCACCAAATCGCCAGCAATTTTTGATTGAATGGTGAAATTCAGTGCGTGTACATCATATTTCTTGGCGACAAGAATTGCTCGTTGACTTAACCAAGCATAATTCTGATAATTCTCACTAATGTAATTATTCAAATTTTTAATTACGGTACGTAAAGTTCCAGCAATTTGCATTAAGGCACGATGCCATGCACAACTAATTTTCTTAGCTATAAACCTTGCGGAGCCCGAGACATTTCCAATGAATGCAAAATTGTCGAAATCGGTTTGTGCGTTCTGGAGTTATTTCGTCAGGAAGGAAAACCCGACTTATTTTTATATATATAATAGAAGATTATCACGACTACAACACTGGAAGGGGAGTTCTGTGGCGGTAATAGGCCGCTGGTGTTTTTATGATATCTAAGAACTTTTTAGTAAATTGTATTCAAAGTTTTGTCATTTATACAATTTTTTATTGGTGACCTCGACGTAATCTAGGATGATGGTCGATATTAAGGGGGCATTAAAAAAAAAGAGTGCGCGTAAAGATCACACGCGATTGAAGTAAAACTTATTTGCGAAGTAAATTTAGGAAAAAGAACTCTACTGACAAGCAAATTTAGAAAAATTAATAAAAAAGAACTCTACTGACGAGCAAATTTAGAAAAATTAGGAAAAAAGAACTCTACTGACAAGCAAATTTAGAAAAAATTATCTTAAAAAACTCTACTGAATCGCAAATTTAATAAAATTAGAAAAAAGAACTCTACTGACGAGCAGATTTGAGAAAAAATCGAAAATAGGACTCTACTGATGAACGAATTTTAAAAAAATCGAAAAAAGAACTCTGCTGACGCGCAAATTTAATAAAATTAGAAAAAAGAACTCTACTGACAAGCAAATTTAGAAAAAAATTTCTTAAAGAACTCTACTGACGCGCAAATTTAATAAAATTAGAAAAAAAAACTCTACTGACGAGCAAATTTAAGAAAAACTCGAAAAAAGAACTCTACTGATAAACGAATTTAAAAAAAAAAATCGAAAAAAGAACTCTACTGACGAGCAAATTTAAGAAAAATTTGAAAAAAGAACTCTACTGATGAGCAACTTTGGAAAAATTTGAGAAAAGAACTCTACTGACGAGCAAATTTAAGAAAAAAATAGAAAAAAAAAACTCTACTGACGAGCAAATTTAAGAAAAACTCGGAAAAAGGACTCTACTGATGAACGAATTTTAAAAAAAATCAAGAAAAAAACTCTACTGACGAGCAAATTTAGAAAAATTTAAAAAAGGGAACTCTACTGATGAGCAATTTTTGAAAAATTTGAGAAAAGAACTCTACTGACGAGCAAATTTAAGAAAAAAATAGAAAAAAAAACTCTACTGACGAGCAAATTTAAGAAAAACTCGGAAAAAGGACTCTACTGATGAACGAATTTTAAAAAAATCAAGAAAAAAACTCTACTGACGAGCAAATTTAGAAAAATTTAAAAAAGGGAACTCTACTGATGAGCAATTTTTGAAAAATTTGAGAAAAGAACTCTACTGACAAGAAAATTTAAGAAAAAAATAGAAAAAGAACTCTACTGACGAGCAAATTTAGAAAAAATAGAAAAAGAACTCTACTGACGAGCAAATTTAAGAAAAACTCGAAAAAAGAACTCTACTGACGAGCAAATTTAAACAAAAATTAAAAAAAAAGAACTCTACTGACGAGCAAATTTAGAAAAATTTAAAAAAAAGAACTCTACTGACAAGCAAATTTAAGAAAAAAATAGAAAAAGAACTCTACTGACGAGCAAATTTAAGAAAAACTCGAAAAAAGGACTCTACTGACGAGCAAATTTAAAAAAAATCGAAAAAAGAACTCTACTGACGAGCAAATTTAACTTTGAAAAAATTTGAAAAAAGAACTTTACTGAGCAGTAAATTTAAAAAAATAGAGGAAAGAACTCTGCAAATTCAAGAAAAAATAGAAAAAACGAGTGCGCGTAAGGTTCACAAGCGATTGAAGTAAAACTTTTTTGTTATCGTACAGGATGGCATTTAAGTTAAATTTTCACTATAATTATTAACTGGAGACGGGATAAAATATTCTTCCAATCCAGACATTTTTTATCAAATCAAGATTTCTACTAGGAAGTAACCTTAAAATCTAATGGACATACTACGCATACAATCAAAAACCCTCTCACGCGACACGACAACCAATCACAATCGACCCGTATAGAAATGATATCATCGAGAGCGAATGACGAACAGCTCTGGCGTAACGGACTTTCGTTGCATTCTCGCAGATTTACAACCTAGTCGCGTCTAGAGAAGTTTTACTTCAAAAACTTCATGACGAGTAAATTTAAAGAAAAATGGAAAAAAGAGCTCGACTCGGAATTTGCTTCGTAATTATATATATTTAAGTAGAATCAGTTTCAGATTAGGCTGGCTCTTGCAAAGACTATTAAGAGACATTTATATGTGGCGGGCTTTGCAGTGGGTAAACTATTCATATATTTTTGTTAGCTGCCCATTTCAATTATGCACCACATTTGCAATCAGTTAGTTATTTTTATTTAAACCTATTATACTAAATATATTACTTATGGGAAAACAACGTTTGTCGGATCAACTAGTATATATATATATATATATATATATATATATATCCTTTATCTTACTTGTTAGCTATCTTCAACCTCAGATCGTTCAGCATCTGCGAAGGCACTTCAACTCTATCACTATTTTTATCAGACAAAAACTTTTCATAAATCTTTTGGGCAGTCTCTCGAAGTTCCTCGTTTGAATTCATCGGATGACTGTTATTATTACCATTTGTTGTCGTCGTAGAATTTGTAGAAGAAGTTGTTCCATTTCTAATACTGCGCATCTTTGTCGCCAATTGATTCGTTGTTTTGTTCTGAGATTGTTCACGAACTGATGTCTTCCAATCTAAGAAGAAGAATAATAGAAATAAAAGTAAAATATTTGTGTTTAAAAATTTTTATGAATAAGATACTTACGTTCCACGGTGTTATAAAAAAATAGATAGTTCTGTTTGTTGACTTGTGTTAAATAATCGAGGTAAAATGATAAGGCTACGTCGCCGCTCAGTAATTGTTCGAATGATAGCAATGGTAGAATTGTTGAAGACGAGGTATCTGGTTCTGCAAAAATTAAAATATACATTATATATATATATATATATATATATATAATTAATTATTTTTTTTTACCTATATTTCCTTTAAGTTGTCCCAATTTATTATTAATCATTTTCTCGACATATTGCAAACTGCCAATTTGTTGTTTAATGGAACTGTCGACGTGCAGACTACTTGCAGACCTCTGAAATTAATGAAAAATTATATAATTGATAAATGTAAGCATCCTTCATATCAGTCATAAAACTTATATTATGAAATTTAATATAACAATTTTGTTCAGATCCATCCAACAAAAATACAACTCGACTATTGTCCATACATAAAAACAATAAAATTGTATTGCAAAAGAATAAAAACAATTATCAAACAATTAATTATACTTACAAGTTGATGAATTTCAGCTCTCAACATTTCCCTCATGACACTTAATTCATTAACATCATTACAAAATCTTAATGTCGTTAGCAAATGCTCACCGGCAGGTGGCCCATCTTTGCAACACTATAAAAAAAAACATTCAAATTTATTAATTTGGATTATTAATTATATTTATTATAATTATTACAATATATATATAATATATATATATATATATATATATATATATATATATTGTTGTAGAGTTTTGAACAAAAATCCAATTTTACTGCAGCATTCCATACGTTAAGAATTATATTATTATTTTGCCAAAATTCTGTTAGATGAAAACATTCTAGTATCAGGCTCATCCTTACACTCCTTCAAAAAAATTTTTACGAACATTAAATCTCCTACTCCATCCAATTTCAATACTAACGTAGTATATTCTATTTCTTGTAACGACTGTTCTTTCAAATATATTGGAGAACACAATATGTACACAAAAGAATGAGACAACATGAATTAAGTGTGGTTCCCCATAAACAAAAAAAAATCAAAAGTACCCCAGCACAGCGCTCTATTAAAAATGCCCACTCGTTTAACTTCACTCCATCTTATTACATGAAAATTGCATCTATAAGAGATTATTTGTGGAAAGTTGTCTTATTCTTATGAACGTTTCTAATAGTGTTTACATTAGATCAGATCACAACCTGTTACATGATTCTTATTTAAATTTTTTACACTTTTTGTCAAACAATTAATATCGACTTCCATTTAAGATCAATAATTTAAATATTTACATCCTCACATATAAAAAACCACACACACACACATCCTTACAGTCTTCAAGTAGCGCACGTGTGACTTTGAATCAGTTCATTGCAAACAGCCAATCTCATAACATCGAGAGAATAATATTGTTTGGTTTTCAAATAATAATTTTAAAAAAGACAGAACTTATAGTAATTTTGATTTACAAAATTTACCTATTCGGCTGAATTATAACTCAAATTCAATTTTCGATAAAATCTTTTTTAGTGAAAAAGTGCTAATGTATATTCAACCGTACAGGTAATTAATTCAATTTTGTCATTAACTTTTTCTTAAAACTTTCCAAAACTTTCAAATTTGTTTATCATTTTTAATATCCTGTTATATAATCCACACATTTATTTTTATCATTTTCATTTTGATCATATTATCATATTTCTGTACATTATTTTTTCAACAATTTTATTAATTAAAAAATCCATCTTATTTTCTTAAACATATTGTTTCCTTAAATCTTATCAAGATCATGTTTTTTGACAGATGTCCTGAAGATGAAACGTACCTAGTTCCGAAACGTCGACAGTAAAATAAAAAAAGAAATAGTTTATTAAAAAACTTTTTTTGTTTTTTATTACTTTTTGGATTCTTCTTCAAAACTCTACAAAATATTCACAATTCCAAGACTCTACCATTTAATATATATGTATATATCTTTGTTACTTACAATTTTTAGTATAATCAAATTAACAGTATCAGGTTCCGATAGCAAATCGAACAAAGGCCTAAGTACACAGCAAGAAATCAGCGACCCCAAAATGCTTCTTAAACTCGGGCAAGCAAAATCTTCCGAAGGCAAGATGAAAAATAACACCAAGTCTACTAGACTTGTTAAATGCTCTGGAAAATGATACAAAAACAAATTATTAAGTAAAGCAAAACTTAATTAATATTTTGTATAAAATGTCACAGTTAACCTGTAATATACTTTTAGTAAAAGTGTCTAAAGAAGTTTTACTTCAAAAAAATTAAGATTGATTTTTTATGGCGTGTGAGGTATCATTTGATAGGTCTCGAAGAGTACAATACAAATATTAAAATAGTTTTGACTTTTTTTGAATTTTTCTAAAAAAATTTTCATTTTTATATTTTTGTAAATTTTTTTGCTATTAAAACAGACGAGACTTCAATAAATATATTTATTGTATTGTTTTATGTGTAAATTGCGTGACTGCACAACAAATACATGACTTTTGACAGTATGTTACTACCAACTCATACAAAGATAGACCCCTAAAATAGTATTTATATAACATTTCTATTATTGCAACTTGGCTTAAGGTAAAATACTACTTTCACTTAGTTCGTCTTATTGTAAAGTTAACTTGTAATATACACTTTTATGTCATTTTTAGTAAAATAATCTAAAGAAGTTTTACTTCAAAAAATTAGGATTGTTTTTTTAAGACATGTGAGGTATCATTTGCTAGATCTCGAGGTTTTAAATCCAAATATTAAAATAATATTGACTTTCTTTTAGAATTTTTATAAAAAGCTTTTAATTTTCACATTTTTATAATTTTTTTTTTGCAATCAAAAAGTGAAGACTTCTACTTTCACCTAGTTTATCTCATTGTAAAGTTTACTTGTATTATATACTTTTTTTGCAATTTTAGTAAAAGAATCTAAAAAAGTTTTACTTCAAAAA